AAGAAGGCGAACGCGCCGATACGTCAAATGGATAAATCTTCGTGGCAATTTTTTGATAGCTTATGAAAAAAGGGCATTTTATCCACTTCTTCGTAGCACTAGCATTTTTTCCAGTGTTCGAAGAGCGTTGGTGAGCCATAGGCTGTGTTAACCGCAGTGTTTAGTGGAGTCACGCAGCCCGAACGTAGTCTCAGTTTGCCTCGTTCGAAGTAGTCATACGGAATTTATTTATCGTTTTGCTTTTAGCATGTGACCATAATCGGGTTATTTCTGAAAAAACCAAGACATCTCATAACAATGATCTCCTTCCTAGTGCCCAAGTTTTTACATCACGTATTTATTTAGTTGTTTTTCGCTGTGTCGCAACTGTTATTTCACTTTGCACGTGCTTCAGTCTGCCTCATCAGGCGTCTTAAAATGACCGTCGTCACTCGCAACAGCTTGTCTCCGACCTTAGACGTTCACTTTCTCTAAGTCTGTGGAACTCACTGTTGTACCGTATGCTCGTTGGTGGTTCCCTATTCAGTCACAGCGACGATTTTGCCATCCATTTCCGATGCGTCGCAACGGTGTATGAATCTGGATGAAAGTGGTCAAAAATGTTTCCTGCTTCCTTTAAAGTTTGCTTTAAATCGGTTTTGAAATTGCGTGCACCTTTGGCAAGACATTATTGTCTAAACAAGCGTGATACTTCGTTTGGCGAAATCGGATAGTTCCTTCGACATTTCCTAAAATTAGGGTTAAATTGCTGTTGGACGCGATGAAATAACAAATGGTATCGTCAGATTTGTGAACCTCTTGCTAGGCCGCTAAACTTGCATGGTTTTGCAGTTAAAATGAGCTTATCAGCAAATCCGCCTTTCGACCCCTACCTGCCCGAAAGTAATAGCCCCTCTCAATTTTAAGCGAACATATCTCAACTCGTATGGAAGGAACACTATATTTGATATTGTGCTAATTAGGAGAGGGATTCTCAGAGTATGCACATCTTTGCTAACAAAAGAATTTCCTCATCCGTACCAAGACGAAATTGCGAAGTTCTGCGGTCCGCAAAGTTTTTTTTTCACTTTCATGAAGACCCTATCTCGGACGGAAAAGAAGCAGTCGCCTCCTTCAGAGTATCTTTGAGTTTTATAGGTGCTGTTCTTGCACTGGAATTCGAACTTTTCTCCTATTTTGTGGAAGTATGGTTACTGAAAAGATTGACAACTGGAATCACATGTTACGCAAGTTATTTGTAACCTTTGTGTGATAGAGGATATCCTGTTGAATCGGTCCGTCAATTTCTAGTTCTTCCAGTGCTCACGTCATCGGAACACAATCATCTTCGCGAATGTTTTGACAGATTGGCAACGATGCTTAGTTCCAATGATGCTGAGATATTTGCAAAATTCCGTATCGCGAGCAGGTGTCTGCTGTGGAGAACGAACGCGCTACTGTCCTTACCGGGGAGTAACGCGTTCACCACCACACCATGCGGGTCATTCGAGTCGCCTGTCTCTCAGCTAGTTTTTTCGATCAGTGCGATCAGCATTCACCTTTCAACGATATTGATCTGTGCAGGCACCATCAACACATTCGTCATAATGCGTGTTGATTTCAATGCATACGCGTTCGGAAATAACTCTCCCTTTAAATGTTTAAGAAACATACCTTAGCTTGAAGTGAACTCTACTTACTCACTTGGATACTTGGATGGCCCATTCTTACAGGTTGTGCGGGCCTCAGCATAATCGCCATTTTTGCGGTGTTTTGCTGCTTTAGTTCTTCTTTGAGTTTTGTGGTTCACTGGATTGCCGAGGCCAGCCAGGCCAAAGTCTTCCCCAGGTCGTCATCACCACCGGCACACGCCGCCCTTGTGGATCAGAGAGAGATTTGCCACCATGCAACTAGTTTTATACCAGGACGGTGATGGATACTGGTATTGGTTTACTTCTGGCTTGGTGTACTGATGGAAAGGCCGGACTCCTTCTTAGCTTGGGAGACCTTACTGAAGGATGAATCCTCTCGCTTTACATCGCACGCGACACCCAGGAACATCTCCCAGCCACGATGATGCGGTAAACCGTTGGATGGCACATCCCAAGCTATCCATAGGGAGGACTGAAAGCCTCTAGTATTAGGAACCCTGAAATTGAGGTTGAACATATTCGACTTTTATTTGGTGCCTATTATGTTTCACAGCAGGGTATTATGTGAAATACAAAATCATGAAGAAGCTGAGATATGAGCAGAACTCGGAACGTCGGGTGAGATTCGAACACTGAAATGATATAGTAAGTACCTCAATGATGCAGTGGATAGGACTTGAGACAGTGGAAAGGTTAATTGCTGGTTCGAATTGCACCTGGCCTTCCCAGTTTCGCTCATACTTCATCATCATTGTGGTTAAGATTTAATACTTCATAAATGTTCTTTATGGCCTTAAGGCGATATGACAGAATTTTTTTCGTAAGTATGTGAAGTTATCAACTCTACTAGTACTCTATTAAGGAAGCAATTGTCGTTTATGGTTGAGAAACCTCCTTAATAGCGATTATGTTGTTTTGGAAAGGCTAAGTAATTTTTCTCCGATTTACTTCTGTGAATTTAGTCGCAGATATTTTCCCTGAATCTAGTTAACTGCATCTTCGAATGGACACATCATCGGCTCCTGAGGTGCCAGGTGTTGTACATTGGAGTGAGGGCGAGTACGAAGAGTGCTGTGATGGTGAGTTTCGGTGACGTATGGAGTCGCTGTTTAAACAAAATTGATCCGATACTGCTATGTTTTGACTGACATCGATATTTGGGGGAAAATTGAAGTGAAGCAGTTCCAGTTGGGGGTTTGATAAGTACAATCAGTTGCTTTGCCCACTACAAAGATGGATGGGTTTGAAACATTGTAACGCTGCTCATTGATTTCTTCTCGGGTATACAAATTCATTAGTACCTGAGAATGTGAGCTACGCTGCTTTGCCGTGAAAATATGTTTCTTATACCTCCTCGTTATTGTTCTGGGAGTTCAAGTGTTTTCGAGGTGCGGTGTCGAAAAATTCCAGGTCCACAAGGACTACTTAGCCCGATAAGTCCAGATTATGGCTCAAGAACACCAACACCGCTATCTACCTTGAGTGCAGAAACCTGCAGCTAGGAGGCTGTGCATACAGTCCATTGCCTCCTGAGTGGGATTCTTATATCTTTCGTTTCCACTATCATTCCTTATCGTTTTCTTGTTCTCCACTTACAATTATGGCTCATCGTGGGATGTGACGCCTCTGCATTTTACAAGCCAGAATCACAATGCCGCATCACCTGCGTACTACGAAATTAGTGCTGAGGTAGCTGTTTATCTTCTTCGCCAAAATTAAATATTCTGTAAAGTTTTGCCTCAGTTTTTCAGTATTATCCATCCTCGTCCTTGGGTTCTCCTACCTATCCATGGTTAGATTCATCTTCATCGGGTTCGCCATTATCGCCAGAAAGATATTTCTTCTCCACCTTGCAGTCAAAGCGGTCTCCAGATTTTTTTTACTGCAAAAATGTGTGGTTTACTAAAATTTATGGCTCTGTGCAGAATTTGTCCCAGTTCACTTATGTTAACCTTAACATAACCAGTCTTGAAATCCAGCTCCGCAAGTGGTTTGCTACTAACGAATACTTTTTATGCTATTGTGAGGTAATCACCTTCGCGTAAAGAGAAATGTCAACTTTCATACGACCTATGCTCCCCACAATATTGTCACTGTTTTCACAATGTGTTTTCTATCTTCTTCTTGAAGACTTCGCCAATGTTCTCCGTATTTTTATTGCACATTTTGCCTATATTCTTTCAATTACAATCCAGAAAACTGCATTAGACGTCATACGATCCACAAGAGTTACCAGATTCACTATATTGTTTTGAGATTGCACGAGGTGGAGTAAACGTTTCTGGGCGCCTTCACCTTCTTCAGAGCTGCAAGAATTCGAATCGAGTGTTCGCAAGTGTTCCTTGTTACGATCTGGGTCTTCATTGTCACATCCAGTGTAGTGCAACACCGTTTGAATGTTTAGTATTTTTGTTTTTTGTTTTTAATATGTATCCTTTGTCTTTATTACTCATAAGCTACCCCTGAATCATCCCCTAACTTGCCCTAACCTATCTCTTACGTATCCTCAATCTATTTCAAATATTTCCTTAACAAACCACTGACACGTTTCCACTGTGGGGCATAATTTCCACCATCAATACTTCGCTCACCCGCTCGTCTTTCCTACCTTACCTGTCTGCCTCCTCTTGTAGTTGTAAATTTAGCTATTCTTTGTGGCAAAACAATAGGGAAGCTTTTTATCATCTTCTGGCCATCGAATTTTCCATAGCCGTTTTCGACTGCTTTCTGTTGACATAACTGCTGCAAATTTTCTCTATTGTTTCATCTTCTTAATATTCATATTCAAACCTGTGGTTTTACAGATGAAGGAATTTTGGTTTGGTAGGCAATGGGAACTTAAAAGAGCAAATCAAGAGGCAGAACTCTTATACTCAAACCTTCTGTAGCAATTACTTTATGGCTTTCGGTGGTTGACGTGCAGAGTTTAGAACACGATAGTCAACTCTTTATGTATTTGTTGCCGTACTACGCCACCTTAGATCTCAAATTTAGATTTCCTACTTCAATGCGCCTTCAAATGTGACAGCTCTCATAATAGGTGAAGGAGGCGAGCTCTTTCAACAGGTTTGTTCCGGCGAGAGCTTTGACGTTTCCGCCCTTGATCTTGATTTTATGTTTATAGATTAACCCTGAAAGCTGCCGTTGCGAGCTCTCTCGCAGTCCTTTTCTAAATCATAAATCAGGAACAACAGGTATATGTCAATTGAAATAACTCCGTTGCTCTTTGTAATTTGGACTTCATCTTTTGTTTTTCTACAGCAGATTATTATTCACGGTACTCCACTCGAAGGTCAGCACGCTGAACACATTCTTCGCACCAAGGTAATCTTTCTGGTCAACCCAACCAGTACGTTGAATTTCTAGGCGATGGAAGGTGCTCCTTCCATCTGCTACTTTTTGAGCTTCAAAACTCAAGTGCGTTAAATATTGCGCGTAACTTTCTGCTTGTGTATTATTTTCCAGCATTTTCTGTTAGATCTCACATTTTGTTTACAATAGGTGAGCTTTCGGAGATGTGTTGATTTTTGTGACATTCTTTATATATTTGGCTAACAGTTCTACTATTTATTCCTTTTATGTCGGTACTGTGTCGTGTAGGTTGGTTATTACAAGAAATGTTCTTTATTAGGTCGGGGCTGTTGCTTCAGACATTGACGTTCCTCGACCTTCAATTTTCCTCAAACCCGCTTTTCCAAACGGCAGTGATTTTAATGGGCAAAGTGGTGCCAGTCTCGGGAATACAGGTGTTATGTTCTAGGAACAGCTCCAGAACTACTTTTAGTTGCTGAAAATAGGCGTTTTGCTACCATTTATACTGATTTGAGCCCAATAAACCGATACTGGTAGCAGTTGGACCAATTGTGCAGGGCAATATTACGTGAATGACACTCTCAACTCGCATAATTTTTATGCTAGTGCCCAGAATTCCGCTGACCTCAGGATCCTGCCTAATGCCTTCTCCTACTTGTATGAATACTACAGGTTCGTTTTTCTTTGTTGTTGTTGTTGTCTCACATTAGTGATCATTTCTTGAACATGGGTTCTCATAAGCTTAATATAAAGTGGATCGAACTCGAAAGTTGAAACAAAATGAGGCAAGACGCCTCACTCAACAGTGTTCTCTGACGTTTGGTGTGTCTACCAATTAATTCGGACTATTTTTGGACTCTTACTTAAAATTTCGTTAGATCGCATACACCTTAGCCCGTAGACGACAGAAAAGTGTCAGTCGATTGGTTAGAGAAGCGCAGTGCTGAAGTGAATGTCTAACATTCTGAAGGATTACTGTTTTCATGACGGTTTTCACTTTAATGTAAGCTAAATTTTGTTTGCATTATGCTTGTTTTTAATACTGCAGGGCTATAGGACTCGACGGATATGCGGCGTTCATCCAGGCGCAAATTGTGGAAAATGCTGCACTGAGTGGAACAGCTGGATCACTGATTCCGCCAGTGCCGACTACTACATCGCAGACCACGATTTCGAACGCAAATAATCTGACTCCTCCTGGAGGTTCAGACTAGCTCAGGTATTCTGCCTGTACCCGTCCCCAAGCGCGAGTCACAGCAACTACAATCACTGATTTCTTTTCATTTCTTTCAACATTTTGCTGTTTCGTCCTCAAGAATGGTTTTCCATCTAAGTGTCTTCTTTTTTGTGTTCCGGAGTTTATCGATGTTGTTTTAAGTGTTCTTACTTATTTTTCTTTGTTGTACTGCTTGTATTACTAAGTAAATAATGATTCTTACTACGTGTGTATCATCAAGTGGAAGAGTGGGATTCCAATGTGCAATATCTACTAGATTTTTTATCTTTTAGATGAGTCTTTTTAACACACGTATACACATTTACACAGATATACACACACACGCGCACACACACACTTCTTTACTTCATATTAAAAAATTTTTTTTTCTGTATGTGTTGATTAGTTCGTGTGTTATTTGCTTCTCTCTTTTTGGCCTGCCACGCTGGAATTTCTGTAGGGGCCGCAGGTCGTAATTTCAAAAGTTAGTGATTAGACAGCTTAGAACAATAATAGTACAGCAATGTGTAACTTTTTGTTTTTTTTATTATCTAATTTTTTTATTTGGTACGTCCTCACGTTTGCCGTGCGGGCCCCGCACTTCTAACATCCAATTCGCTTCCTTGCATGCATCGCACACGAAGGTCTTTCAAGTTTTTACGTGTGGCTTCGGTTGCTGCTTGACGAACTTCATTTCAACTTGAATGTCGTAAAATGCTGGTCGAAGAGTTCTCCCTGGTGTCCTGAGATAGCCAGGTTGGAGCGTTCCCAGTTGGACTGCAGAGAGTGGTTTTCTCCAAACAAGTACGGTACCAATATCAAGGTTTTTCATTTGGTGCCTATTTTCATGGCAGATTGTTATGTGAAATACAAGCACAATTATGCTAAGATGTTTGCAAAACATCCACACTAGGCCAGATTCGAACCCGCGGCTACTCTCCATGGTCACACGTGTTACCCACCACACCACTTAGGCACTCGTTCTGAATGAACTTTCAGCCACTGTTATTCAGCAATACTTTCATGGTTACTTGGATGGTTTATCTTTACTGGGTGTGCGGACCTCAGCGCAATTTCCTTTCGTTTCTCTCTTACGCAATAGTCGTCCATGATGGTGAGTTGTTTATGCCTTTTTCATCCCAACTGAGTGACTTCATTATCTACTATACTTACTTTGATACTGGGATGGCCCGTCTTCACTGGTTGTGTGGATCCTGGCATAGCTTCCAATTTTCTCGGAATTTTGCTGGTTAGGCAATTATGGTTTCCTAGAGTCCAGAGGTAAGCCTAGCCAAAGTCTGCGCCAGGTTGTCACCACCACAGGCAGTCGTGGCCTTTTTGGATTAGAGGGAGATTTTCCAGCATGCAACTAGTTTGATACCAGGACGATGGTGGATCCCTGATATTGGTTAACTCTTAGCTGGGCTTCCTAATAGAAACGACAAACTTCTCATTTTGGGAGACCCAACCGGGGAGGTAAATATCCATGCTGTACCTCTCAGGCCGACACTCAGGAACACCTCCCAGCCACGATGAGGCGGTAAACTTGTAAGAGGTTTATCCTCCACTATAGTCTGCAGTAAACAGCTTTGGCGATAATTTGTCGCCCTATCGAACCTCTTTTGCCATAGGTATGGTATGGTGAAAGCTACATGAAAACCTACATATTTGTGCTACAGTTTAGACAACAGTTTGCTTGTTTTGGTACATAGGACGGGTTCAGTACTTGCTTGAAGAGCACTAATTAGACCACTTTTGGTTTGACGCTATAGAACGCGTTATAGTACTCGATAAAGGTTACGACAAGGGACAGATGGTATTTCCAACGGACTTCTATGACCCGTGGCACTGCTTGGATGCGGTCCATAAAGCAAAAACCCTGTTAGAGTCCTGCTTGCCCAAATGCTTGTGTATCGTCTAAGGTCTTTGATGTGTGCAAAGCGATAATCTTCGTGAACATATTGTAGATTATATTCAGTAAGCTTTTTGGTAGGTGGTTACGATTATCCCTTCAGACTCCCTTCTTGGGTAGGATATCCGTGCGCGATGTCCTCCAAGTCTGGGATTTTCTCTTTCTAAAGGTAAGATGTGGGATGCGAGAAGTGCATGTAGTTTGTGATCACTAGCTGTTGTAAGAAATTAGTGTTGGTAACATCGAGTCAAGAGCGCGTGTGGAGCAGTAGTTGAAAGCACTACTGCGACACACACGTGGAATCGATCCTCGCGCCCATGGCCCACCAAGCCTTCCATCCTTCTGGGGTCGGCAAATTGGTACCAGACTTGTCTGAGAGGATAGCAGCACTGGTTCGATACATCAGAAAAGATTTGTATAGAATCTTTCCCTTATCTATTCCACATCATAGGGGAATGCAGCGCTAGTCCCATATTCGTTCATCAGTGCGTATAATGGAATGCTATAGTCGCAGCTATTCCGACAGCACTTCTTCAAGCTTGATCATTTTTAAGCTGATCCAACCACCTTTTTCTGCATTTGCTGATGTAAATCGTTGTGTAAAAATTCGTAGCTGACATTTATTATCAATCTTTTTAAGTGTGTTGCAATCAATCAATCCTCAATGTCCTTCTCTTTTCTAGCAACACTTTAATGTAATGGAGACGCGACCTGAACTTCTTGTGTATAGAACTGAGGGGAGTTCGGCACCAGGTTCTAAGCCTTTCTACAATCTGCGTTTAGCACTCGGTCAGGTCTTCATTTTTTTGCTATTCATATAAGGAGAGGATTTTATTGAGAATATTTCCGTCATACACGACTTGTTTCGTTTTTCTTGGACTGTGACAGTTGTCTTTTACCCCATGGCTGAATCGAATGTTCGCACGGAGAAGGCAGTGACAGGTCCAGTACAGAGTTGAGGTACCACTGAGGTGTCAGAGAGGTACCATTTTCTGTTCTTCACATATGATCGATGTCTCAATGAGTCGTGCCGTTAGGGAACTCCTTTGTGCATCGGCGAATTTCTCTTTTCTCGAAAATGAATTCCCATAGAAGAAACATTCCGTCGGCATGAGTCATACAGGACAGCTTTCATTCTCATTTCGTTCTACTATTCCGAATTCCCCTACCCTGTATTCATTTTTGCTGGCCGTTCGTGATCTGGCGTTGAATTCTCCAACAGCGATTTTATAGAGGAAGTTGTTGTTGTGGATTACCTCTTCCAGCTGGTGATAAAAGGTGTCCAGTTTGCTCGTATAAGCTATACAAGTGGACTAGTAAAGTAACAGTTGATGATGCTGACTCTGTTTTGACGCGCAATTTGGAAACGAAGAATGGCCAAGCGTGGTGACGGGATTTCGTACGAAGTGAGTAGATGAGGAGTAGATGAGTATGCGACAAGGCCAACGCCTCCAACATCTGGTATGGAAATTTTCGTCCACGAATATCATCGGTTCCGCCATCTAATCGGCGTATGCCTGTCTTCGTAGATTTCGTCTCTTGTAGAGCGATCACACAGGAATTGATGCGGTCAAAAGCCTGAAGATGAACGTAAATATCGGTAATTTACTTCGTAAAAATTACTTGATCAATGCCGAGGTTAATAGAAAGTCGGTCGTGGCAGTAAATATCGGTGTTTGAAGAGGCTGTTCGTGATTCACAATAAACAATCTGCATGGCGTGTAGTGGCTGTCCCCGTTTTGTCCATTTCCAATGACGTCTCACACAGCTAGAGATTTGATCACCTCTTACCAGTTTTCTTTCCGCCCAACGTCGTAGACGGGAGCTGGCAGTGTGAGCACAGTTATTTGCTGGTTTACTCCACCGTGGTTTTCTGGAGTCACGAGGTTAGCCAGCCAAGGTGTCGCCCAGGTCGTTTCCACCCCAGACATTCGCTGCCCTTGTGAATCAGAGCGAGATTTGCCACCATGCGATTAGTTTGATACCGGGACGGTAGTGATTATTGATATTCGTTGCTGTTAGCTGAACATTAGGATAAAAACGGCGAAGGGCTTTTCAGCATGGGAGGCCCTGGCTATTACTGGTCCTGGCTATCATTGGCTATTACTTGTATTTTCGCTGATCGTCGAGTAGATTTGGAGCGTGCTTATAAAGTTCCCTTTCGTCCTTGTG